TCAACTGCAAATCAGCACTTTGTATCTTTCAACTTAGGCTCATAATCGAAACTATTGTTTTCTCTGTTCATAGCATCTTGTCCATAGCAACACATGGTTGACATGTATCTTATAATCCCTAGACACTAGACCTTCAGTTTAGTATTCTTGAGGATGATTCCCTGTCTCTTAAGATGTGTCTAAACTTCCTGTACTTTTGTTAACTGTTCCACTACTCTATCCCAAATAAACTTTTATTTAAGTAAAATATCAGTCTTGTTTTTAAGTAAATATGTATGCTAACACTTAGTGAGGTAGAATTGCTAATATTTATTGAGGTTTTGCTATATTTTGGGTATATATTAAGGATTTTGGTTGATATATTACCACCCTTAATCTTCACTGTAGTCCTGTGAAGTTGATACCATTATTATCATCTTGTTTATGATAGAAAAAGAGGCCAAGATAAAGTTCTTGACAAAAGTCATAGGGCAAGAAAGTAGTAGAGCCAATATTTGACCTGACGAACTTGTTCCTGGGCCTGTGCTCTTAGCATGCCTCTTAATTGACCTGTATTACTATAGCATAGGAAATAAAACTACGGATAATACTATAATATTTCAGAGAATTTTGAATGAACAGTAGGAGTTTATGTCATTTGAATAGTGATGTTACAGAATAAGAATTCACTGCCTACAGTCTCAACTTTTGTTAAAGTCGAAGATTATCTTCACTGCTAATAGGCATATTATATGAATAGAAGAAAATATTTAGAAAGAATTATTCTTCCTGGTCAGTAAATTTATACAACTTTTTATCCAAATTTGTATCAACTTAATTTTGATGAAAATTTTGTTTGTAGTTAAGTGAGAAATATCCCCCAGTGACTCCTAACCAAAGTAGTTTTCTAAAGTGCCCATCTTAACATAACAACGTTGCCAAGGAAGAATTTATTTGCTAGAAGTATGTGGTACAACAGTACTTATTAGGAGATTTAGTTTTTCTGTTACTACATTTAAAACTTTGCCTATAGAAATCTTTTAATAGCGAAAATATCTGATTCTACTATTGAAGTTGTTTAAATCTGTTGTACTACTTCTAATAATCATAAATGACCATAGGTTTAGAAAAAAATCAAAGGCTAAAAATCCTAGTACTTGTCACCACAATTGAGAACTCTTTATGTTATTGCATTTTGTATGGTATATATAGATGAGCCATGTAGGTTAAATTAGAATGACTTAAAAACATTT